GGAGTACAAAGAGAATGTGGCAGAGGAGAACAGACTGGGAGTCATCGCAAAGAAAACACGGCGACATGCACAGAACAAGTTTATAGGTATTATTTGCACAGTGCAAAATATTTTAATAACAATACCAAAACAAAAACACTGTCTGTAGCATTGTGTTTTTGCTTTGCGTGACTGATAAGACAGGAAGCCAAATGTGAGTGTGTGCGTCATCGTTTTTAAAGTCCTCTGTTTTTGCCCGTTAGCACTAAAACGAGTCAGCTGCGTTTTCAAACTTCTTTGTTTTAGATTTGCCATTTTCATCTGGACAGGAGGTGCAAACGAGGTAAAAGGTCTCCGTTTTAAAATGAAAACGTAGTAGTGTGGATGTAGCCTCAGTGTCACTGACCTTTCACACCAAAAAACATCATATTTTTTTAAAGGTCCCATTTTGTAGAAAGTGACATGTTCATGTATTTTGGGATTATAAATCAGGTCTAGGTGCTCTGATGTGTCCCAACTGCACTGGCTCAAGTCATTGTGATTAACGGACAGATAGCTTTACTTGTTGTGTTGTCCGTCTTTATATACAGTCTACGGTCAGAGGGTCAGTAGCCTAATGTGGAACCTTTAACATAGTCTAGAAGGACAGGGTGTGCTAGGATTTTTCTACTGATCAGAGAGCAGCCCGTGAGTAAACAAAGACATCTGATGTGTTAATGGTTATTAAAACGTTTGGGATTTATTTCATCATTTACTGAGATGGCATTTATTTTGCCAGTAGTATAGGTATAAGTGTTTGTTTTTTAAACATTTCAGAATGCATTATTACCATATGCCGAGAATTGTGGAAAGTCTTGACACAGTATTGATACCAGACCGCTTGAAGACTGGTGGTTTTTCAGAGCTGGGCCAGCACAAAAATGACCCACAGTGTATGAAATGATTAAACATCAGTTGATGAGTATCCTAAGGCTCAGGCTCTATCTCTAAATGTTTTAATTATTGTGACTCTTCTTCTCTCTTTTCTGTAAAACAGAGAAATGAAAGTGAAAGTGTATTTGATCTGTAATTTTACAAAAAGGTGTTTTTTTGGAAATGTATCAACAACAAAGGTACAGCATTGCAGAGTAAATCCTGTAAATTATGGAAATGTAACAAAATCCTCCAAAGAAAACTTTACCGTTCTCTTTTTTTACTGGTTAAAAATACTTGAAAGCCGTTGCGTTTTTCCTTAACAAACTGTATAGGCATTTATTTGCATACCTGCCTAGTAGCGGCCTTTGTTGTAACCTGAATGTTTTTTGTCTTTTTCGTCCTCTCTTTCAGGAGGCCTCAGTCACTTCATGGACCAAGTCCTGTGACCACATTCGGCCCAAAGGCATGCATGCTCCAGAATCCACACGCAGTAATGTAAGTCGGACAGAGCAAATGGGTTTTCCATCATAAGGAGTGTTTGAGTCAGTAATGTCAGTTTAGTCTGAGCAACACCAAAAATCATGAAAGCCACTTGCTGTTGCTTGGAGATCTTGTTGGGCCAGTAATGGGGTCAGTTTTAACACCGTTAGTATTAAACTTTCTTTGGACCAGCATTGATGTTGTTGACATTGTTTAAGCCTTAACAGCACTTTCCTCATACTATATAAAAAAACGGAGCTTCCAGACATGTTGAAATTTGGCAGAATATAAAAATGTTTCAGCTGTACACATGTTTAATATTCTAACATGTCATGTTAAAAAGGTCCGGCCTTGAAAAGCAAATGGCTGCCTGTCAGTAATAGTCAATGATAACAAGAAGCTTCCTGCCTGTTGAAAGCCAATGGGATTGTTGCTGCATATAAACAACTATCAACAAGTAAGTTAAACAAATGCGAACTGGCAGTTTTGATACAACACCACGTGAGAGTAAATTCTACCTGCACCTGGAATATACAGCATACCTATTTGGTATACTTCTCCTAAACTGTTTGTTTATGAGAAGCTTTTAACCTCATGAGTCCAGTCTTCCCCTTAAATTTCCTAATATCCTCTGGTGTAACCTCTTTAAAAAAAAAAAAGAAAAAAAAAAAAAAAGGACTGTTTCACATTGCTTGAGGTGAAATATTAAAGCCAAGGTTGTGTGTGGCTGCGCTCATACATTTCATTGTTGTACTGACATTCTCCGTTAATTCAGCATCATAGATTTGGTATCTTTCCCAACCTTGGGTTCTATGGGTTTGCACAGCGCTCGGTAGGTTGTAATTCTGCACCTGCCAACGGCGACATACTAATAGAGAAGATGTGTTCAAGCATGCACACACTTCATTTTAAACAGCATGTCTGTTTACAAACATGCATCTGTCAAACACACCTTTTTACTGTGATGTGTGAAATTAAAAGGCAGTGACATGTTTTCATCGTTTTGGCTCTACTCCAGCGTTGGATTTTATAAGCCAATAATGACTGAGGTACGGAGTGCAGCAGGACAATAATGCTGAACATTCAGACAAGGCAACCCAGGAATTTATAAGGGCAAACGGGAATGTCCTTGACTAGTCAAGGCAGTCACCTGACCTTAACCTAACTGAAGATGTTTGGACCGGACTGAAAGCAAAAAGCGCATGAAACCAGTAGAGCCGCAGAACATACTTTTTTGGTACCAACTGAAATGTGTCTCTTGCACAGAGAACTAAAAACTTGCTTTGCATGATTCATAATCTTGTTTACTTATTCAAACTGACTTGATGATCATTTTGCCAATTTTAGACTGATTCATTATTTATTTATTTTTATTTTACATATTTATTAGGTCATGTAAAGCTGCGTGTACATGAACTCACAAGCAACACGGGCTTCTTTTTTTAAATGAGAAACCTTGTTTTGTTTGTGTCTGAAAGTAAGGTAAAAAAAAATATGATAGTTTTGGTATTGATACGAAAACTCGGGTATTGTTTTGACATTTTTCTAAAGATACCCAGCGCTAGAAACAAACAAGAAGTAAAGCTGTCTGCAGTAAGCCTGACAGAGCATCATCTGGGTAGATGCCAAGCGTCTGCTGTGTGTTGGAGACTTCAGCCTGTCAGACTGCAAAGGATCTGCACCAGAAATAAAACACGATAGCTTTGTTTGAGCTGATGATAACTTGTCCAATTACTTATTTGACCGCTAAAATTGGACAACTATATATAAAAAGGTGTACAATTACTACACTGTTGATCTGATATGCATGTAAACAGCCTCACATTACAGTTGAAAGCTGGCACTTTTAACCTCAGAGTCATTTTAAATCCAATTTGTACTATCGTGTAAGACAAATAAAAGAGAGAAATTTGAGATGCTGGAATAAGAAAATAGGAGAACGCTGATTCCTTTGCTGTCAATCAATTATTTGACTCGTCTTTTCAGCCCTAATATAAAGTAATCCAGTACAATAGCCCTGCAATCAACACTACCTTCATAAAACTCCTGACACTCAGTTAAAAAAACAAACGAAAAAAAAGATATTATTTGACAGGACAGTGCAGAGTGAGAGAAGAGAGATAGGGGACGACATGCAGCAAAGGGCCACAGGCTGGATTTGTACCCGGGCCGCTGCAGCAAGGACTCACTGAGACTGTGTACGAGAGGTGTTGATTTAGTACATTTGTAAGTCTGGAGATAAAACGCAATACACCTAGCAATACAACACATCGTGTTTCAATATATTATGCAAATCAGTGTGCCAGGACAAATTCACTACAAAACCATATCAGCATCATTATGAAATATCAACAGAAGCTGAGTTTACAAAGGTAGCACAGAGCCAACACTGTTGAATAGATCTACTTAATGAGTCGGTAAGCGGACAAATGAGAGACTCTTGATGTTTTCCCTTCAAAGCCTGGTCAGAGTCTTGGCCTCTTGACTCCCTCAGTCACATAAGTGGCTCCCAGCACTGTTTGTTTTAGGCAGCAGTAATTGAATTAGCTTGCTCAAAGCTGTTAGACAGGTTTAAAGTAGCAAAACCAGGAATTCAACCATCTGTATTCCAAAACAAAGGTGAAGCTGTTATACTTTAAGGAATGTACCTGAAAATATGAAGCCGCACAAAAGGTGATTTGGCCCCAGTGATCCAACTAAAGTAGTCACAGTTAAACAGTGAAATTGGAAAATGACTACTTCATGCGATCTCTATGCAAAGGCGTGGATGTGATACTCAAGGTAGGCAGCCACAGCCAGCTTGTTGTTTTTTGTTGTTTTTGCATTAATTGTTAGAGCTCTCACAATGCTCCCCTGAAGCTCTAAACACACCCTGAAACGAAATGCAACAATATGACCCAAGGGGTTGTTTTAGAGCCAGCCTTGTCAGTACACTGTGTTCTATTACTCTTCTGACAAGCCAGAGGCACACGTGTAGCAGTGTGCTGTGGTTTACCACTGAATGTACACAGAACACTGATGTATGTGTGCATGTTTATCATCCTGTAAAATGTTGAGTCTAGCCTTCCACCTCATTAAATATGATCTGTTTAGTTAATAAAGCTCTTGCTTTGTCACCGTTATCAAAATGTTACCATGAAAAAGATGATGTCAACCCTGATGTACACTTTTCCCAAATCAGGAAGCATTTGTAGAGGTTTCTTTGTTTTTGTGGTCTGAAACATTTGCTCATATACAGTAACAGAGCTTTGTTATGTTGAAGTTCTTATGGAGACTGTGGGGGACATTGTCTTCACATAATGCATGATTGTGTAATTTACCCACATATCCCTGTCACTGAATTTCACCCTGGACTTCCCCTTGCTGCATGTCACCAGGCCACACGGTCTCTTCTTGAAAAGGGGTCATAAACTCAAAAGGTCACTCTTCTGGTTAGGTAATCAGTTTACTTATTCATAAAAGGTGCGGTTTTGACTTTGTTTCCTTTTAATTAACTGGAGGATATCAAGCTTTTTTTTAAAGTAATGTCATAAGGTGTGTTTTTTTTTTTCATGTAGCATCTATTCTTATTTTAAATAATGCAAGTGGTTGAAAATGAATTCTTTAAATAAAGAAGGATGATTGTGAACAGTAGATATATTAGTTTTAGGAATAGTCTCATTGTTCTGTTTCAGTAAATCACACCTGTTCAACAAGGAAAAGCCCTTCCCTGAAATGGGCGTGTTCAGCACAGCAGAGTGGGTGGGGGCTGAGATGAAGTCAACCTTTTAAGATGAGTGAGCGCTTTAGTTCAGCTGCAGAATGAACCAGGAAGGTTTAGTGTTAAGTCCTCAGTGGGCCAAATATAGCCTCAGTGAATCTAGCTCGGGGGGTTGTTAGCTGATCCTACAGCCCGACCACAGCACATGGAGAGCCTCGCTCAGCCTCTCAGAGAGCCGGTGGCTGACTCACAGCTCGCCCGCAAGAAGTGACCTGACTCAGTCGCTCCACCTGCTGTACAATGTGGAGCATTCGAAGAAGTTGTTAGAGGTTGTAATGAGTTGATTTGCCGGCGCAGGCCAGCGGGACGACCGAGTCCCGTTCTCCAGCTGAGTCAGCCTGAAGCAGCATCCTTGTTAGATGTGTACAGCCATGAAGTTCAAACAGCGCACACTGCAGGACGTCCCTGACAAGGAGAACAAAGTGTGGAAATGGTGAGAGGGGGTGGGGGTGTATATTTGGTATAGTTGTAGTACTTTTAGTCATACCATGTCATGTCGAAGTTGTAACACTTTGGAAGTAGCAGTGTGTTGTGGACAGAGCGGGGTTGCTGAATTGAAAGGGGAAGACCAGGGTGCGGATGCTTTGAGGTGATCAGAGCAGAAACTGTTCATGAATAGATCACAGCTCCTCTCCACTTGAAATGCTAATGAATTTTTTGCTCTGTGCCCAGTACTCTCATTTGAAACCAGGCCTGCTTCAGGTTCAGTTTCATATTTGTACTCGTCCATGGTTGGTTTCATCAGGTTCATGTTATTTAGGTGATCTTGAGATGTTTGTCTCTTTAACTGTGGTTTAGATAGACACAAGAACCTGTACAGTACAACGCTATCTGATACTAGTAATTACTTCCTCTGTAAATATTCTGTGGCAATTTTAAAGCTTTAGTTTGTTGTGTTTTTGTATTTAATCGCATCATATTGTTTGGTGTTTTTGAGTGGACTGAAACAGGAACAGGATATGTTATAATAATACCGCTTTATTATGTTATTTGTTAGGACTGAAGAGTTTTGTGGGTGTGGGTGTGGGTGTGGTGTGTGTGTGTGGGGGGGGGGGGGGTAACTCTGATTGCTGCTTGTTCGTGAACAGAGTTGATTGTTATTCTGAGAACGTGTCTGTTTAGTTTGATATTTATTTTTGACTGAAACCGTGTTAGATAGTAGACCACATGTGTGGCGGGGGTTGACACGCTGCTTCTGCTGCAGTCTGTTAGGCCGAGTAAAGATATCAGAGCCCCAAATATATTTGACTGATGAAGTCTCCAGTGTTATTCTGCTGTCACGAGATAATTGTACATGTTCTCAGTTCTCATCTATTGAATATAACCCTCCTGCTTTCCAACATTTCTTAATGAACTGTTCACACAACTTAACTGAAACACAATTATTCAATTTTAGTGATATAATTAAATTAAGTGACATTGTTTGTTCCTTTGAGCAGATGCAAATGTCCTCATTTGGTCTCAGTCACGTCCACTGACTGGTTGTAACTAGGCTTGAAACTGCCATTCTCCACATTTGATTGCCGTAAATGTCATCCTGTGATACTGATGCTAATTTACAAGCCGTTTTGAAACAGCCATGATAGTTGTGAAGTACAGTATTGAAAGTGTTTAGCCTGCTAGAACTAACCATTTCAATCAATTTTAAATGTGTTTGATCGCATGACTCCAATTGGGCGGTTTACCTTTGAATAGATTTTACATATCCTAAATGTGTTCAGTTCAATCATGAGCCATTTCCTGAAATTTAATAGACGAAATAATGACATGTGGTACAGTAGGAGGTTTTATAACATAGCTGCCACTGTCAACAAAGGATTTGAAAGTCCACTACTTATGTAATGATGACTTATTTCTTCAAATCTAGGCTAATGATTCATCAAACACTGTTAATGTGACATACATGCAGCAGTACTACCTGTTATTGGGCTAAAATAGAGCTGAAGTATTCATGCATGCTCAGGTCTTATTAAGCATTCATTAAATGGTTGCTTCAAAGCTGTAATCTCAAAAAGAAATTCTTGTTCAAGAACTAGACTCAGCCTGTTGTACAATCAGTAATTGCCTAATCTGGATGACAGAGCTGTGAGGAGAGACGCCAACAGACTTTGGTTTTGTTAAATAATCCTAGACGTGGACCCCTTGGCTATTTCCAGTTTTAACTTGTACCCATTTTCCATATGATTTGGATTTGTTTCAGCCCCGGGGAGTTCAGAGGTTCACGCCTCCTGTTAGTTTAGTCATTAGTTGGTGTTTTTGTGTCCTCACATCTTGTGGCTCTCCTTCTGCCATCTCAGAATGCGGGTTGGTGTTAATTGGATAGGTAGTAAGCAGCTCTGGTTATGATGAACATTAGGATGCTTATGACAGATAGTTAGAGATCTTACATCAGCCAGGACCTAAAGCTCGGGGCTCAGGTCTGTGATGATGTAAGTGAGAATCCTTATCAAGTGACTGAGGAGTCTCCTGAGGTGAAAGTTGCGTTTGTGTGTTCAGGCACATCCAGGACCCCGCCAGCCAGAGACTGACATGGAACAAGCCACCAAAAAGTGTCCTTGTCATCAAGAAGATACGAGATGCCAGTCTGCTTGAGCCTTTCAAGGAGCTATGCATATTCCTCACTGAGGTATGACCACATGTTCGCTGACGCCACAAAGTGTGTTGGGCCGGCCTTTTAACGATGAACATAATTGAGTGTTTGTGGGCGGGAAGCTGGTGAGGGATCGGTGCAAAACCACTTTATGTGTTGTCGTCTTTCAAGTCCTCGCTGTCAAATAAAACAGAACAGTAAGAAACATGTTGATTTTGATGAACTTGTGACCTTTCCATTAGTGTCATAATACAAATTCCAAATTTTTAATTATTAAATGAGACATTCATAGTAAAACAGTATTTTCTTTGCTGCCACCATGAGGGTACACTTTGCCTACTCTTATGTAATTATTCTTAATTATTATATCTACCTGGACAATGTAATCTGTGAAAATAACGGCCCTCTTGTTAGCATAGATATGCTTTTATTTTATATTATGTCGTGGCTGTTGCTAATTGGTGTTTTGTTTGTTTGTTGTAGGTAAAAAACATGATAGTTTATGTAGAAAACAAAGTTCTGGAGGACACAGCCATATCAGGCGATGAAAACTTTGGGACCATTACCAAGAAATTCTGCACTTTCAGAGAAGGTAAACTAACCAAATCCATGTATGGTTTGTTCTTTGATTATTCCGTTTCAAAACCAAATCTGTTTTTTTTTTGTGTGTGTGTGTGTGTGTGTTTTAAAACCAAAACAGAAAAACAAAGGAACTACATTTTGTTCTATATTTGACCTGTGTATGTATCCCTAAAAGCTGTTCTCACTCCACGACTCTTCATATATGGACGCATAGTCAACGCCCATCTGCGTCGTTTTGTAACGCACTGGGGATCCATATAGCGTCATAGGTCAGCGCAGTGGGGGAAGCCCTGTAGCGTCAGTTTGTGACGGCAGGTATATGATATTTAACAGAAAGGACGTGGTTGGGGTGAAAGGAGGGCTAAGACTCAGACTTTGAATCGGAAAGACTCGTGTTCGTGTCCCATGTGAAACAAAAAGTCAATATTACTTATTTTTATATTTCATTTTATATAAGGCTTTCTTTTCAAGTTGCATCACAACTCATGTCAACTGTGGCGAATATGATTGTAGAAGTGAGCACTATATTACAGCCACATACGAAAAAAGAAATTAAAGAAAATGTAGGTGTTTTGCAAAATCGCGCATCGCTTTGCCTGGGAGTCACTCAAACACTCAAAAATCTTCAATTTCTAGATTAAGTTTAAGAATTAAGATTAAGAATTTTGTTTTGTGCGCATCTAAAGCAGCTGGTTACCTGAAGAGTGATCTAATTAAATACCCGAATATGTTTATAAAGGGTTTTTCCTCGAGGCTACGGCCAGGGTGCGAACTACGGGGGAGCCAGGGGAGCTTAAGCTCCTCTAAATAAGACATAAGCTCCCCTGAAAATATGGTTTGTGATATTTTGGGGGGGGTCTCTAAACTATTGACAGTTGCCCTCTGCTATTTTTGCCATTCATTTCTATTTTTCTGTATCATCATGGAACATGCGTAAATCTGAAGCGTCGGACATCCAGCCAGAGGGAATGATCACCGCTCCCTCTCCGGTTGACCCACTATGGGTTGTGTTGCCAGTGGAACCGGCGCACTGGACGGTCAGTGGTCGTTCCCTCTGGCTGGATGACGTCTGACGCTCCTGACTTTACGCATAACCTAATCCATGTGTTACTGCAGCTGGAGGCTCTCTGCAACTTTCTACATTCTTCCATCTCAGAACAAAATAAAGGTCAGGTGGAAACAGTGTAGAGAGGCTGAACGAAAATTACCCGAATATTTTAAACCGTGTATGATTCAGTAATATACAGCTCGCTGAACTAACTAATAACAGTCGATGTTTGCTGTGTACCATTGGATGTACTGACAACTATTAATCTGATACTGAAGAAAATCTTCCCGTCCCAGTTGCTAGTGAGTTACAAACTGAACGGTGAGCCTCCTGTTTTATTAACTAAAAACCCACTTATGTTGATGTTCAAGCTCATCTCAATTACATTTAATCAGGCACCGACCAAGTGTCTCTGCTGCAGGTTTATCAAGTGGAACTCAAATCGGACACATTAAATATCAAAATCAATTTTTTTCCGTTTTTTCCGTTTACAACAGAAAACCCCAAAATACCCCAACTTGATCTTTTAGGTTTTCCAATTCATTTTTGCTGTGATTGTATTGACACTATATATAAAACATCAGTTAGGATCTTGGATAAGAGATTTAAAAGGTTTATTGTCATTATATTTCTCAGATCTCGATGACATCTCCAATCGCGTAGACTTCATCATTTGTCTTGGTGGAGACGGGACTTTGCTGTATGCATCTTCGCTCTTCCAGGTATTCAGCCAGCTGTTCCCACAGTTACTTCAAAAACAGCCTTCGGATGTTCTGGTATGACAATCCTTCTCCTTATTTGTAGGAGAGCGTTCCACCGGTTATGGCCTTCCACCTGGGCTCCCTGGGCTTCTTGACGCCTTTTAAATTTGACACCTACCAGTCTCAGGTCACCCAAATTATTGAAGGTACTGAATGTTCCCTGTCTGTCAGCCTTGGTCTTTTTTTTCTTTTCTTTTTTACAGCAAAACAAATTCCTGTTCTGTTTGCAAAGCTTATGTTGTGCTCCAGTTTTTATTGACGAGAGAAATGTCATATATTTCTATTTATCTATTGCATGTAGGTAATGCTGCCATCGTCCTGCGAAGTCGCTTGAAAGTCCGGGTGCTAAAAGAGAACAGGGAGAAGAAGGCCAGAGTGGACGAAAAGGGCATCATCCTGACTAATGGGGACATCGAAAGTAGCCGGAAAGCCACGCAGTATCAGGTACTATCTGCACCTTCAACTAGTACTTTTCTATCTCTTGGTAGTGAGAAAAACATTTGCGCTTTTGTCAGCATTACTGTTCACACTCTCCTTGCTGAGATGTAAATAGTACAACTCGATGTTTCTTTCCCTGAATGTGAGTGATTGTTCTGGTGATCAGTTCATGTTGGGTTGTTTAGACACCACAGGCTTATTACATAACAAAGGGGATGTTCGGGGCTCACCAGAGCCAGCCATAACTATAAGAAGACCTATTTTATTAAATTATTATTATTACACACACAACAACACATGGAGAGATGTCAGAGTGAGGGGGCTGCCACTCAGTGCGGAGCCCCGAGCAGTTGGGGGTGCAGGGGCTTGCTCAAGGCCTCCTTCGGCCCAGGAGGTGAACTGGCACCTCTCCAGCTACCAGTCCACGCTCCACAACTCCGAGCTGGACTCGAACTGCGACCCTCCGGTTCCTAGCCTAATCCTTACGGACTGAGCCACTGCAGGGAGCCGGTGCAGAGAAGCTAATTTAGGATTACACGTGCTGCTTAAGACTTAAGACTTAAGGGACTTGTTTGGACAACCTGATGATAAGGAATTGCAATAATTCAGCCTAGAAGTAGCAAATGCATGGACTAGTTTTTGAGACAGGATGTGCCGGATTTTTGCCATGTTACATAGGTGAAGAAAGGCAGTCCTTGAAGTTTGTTTTATGTAGGAGTTAAAGGACATGTCCTTAACAAAGATACTCCGAAGTACGTGGTGCTGGAGGTCAGGGCAGTGCCATCTAGAGTAAATATCTTTAGATACTGTGTCTCGCAGGAGTTTGGGGCCAAGTACAATATCTTCAGTTTTGTCTGAGTTTGACATCAGAAAGTTGCAGGTCATCCAGGTTTTCATGTCCTTGAGGCAGGCTTGAAGTTTAGCTAAATGATTGGCTCTGTTTCTCCAAAAGGATACCAAATGCAATAAAAACAGCCAATTCTTTTAGGGAAACAATATAACATTTTTTATTAATTAGCTGCAGGACACAGTTCCGCTGCAGCTTCAGGCCACACTGTAAATAGATCAAATCGACTCACCCACGTGGTGTCATCATAATGACTCAGCGGTCCACATGAGCAAACAGTCATCTGCTCCAAATGAAGAAATGTACAGTAGCTCTGACTGCACATATGAGGTTAAGGGTCTCTGACAAGTATTTCCACAGTCACAACTCCCATGATGGGCGATGTGTCTTGTCTAGTGTCGACCAGTGTTATCATGTGAAGTAGTGTCGATACAGGTGGCAACCTGCAAAAACGTGTGAATGTGTTTTGCCTCTGTGTGTTTCAGGTACTGAACGAGGTGGTGGTGGACAGAGGACCCTCGTCCTATATCTCCAATGTTGACCTCTTCCTGGATGGACACCTCATTACCACAGTGCAGGGAGATGGTGAGTGGGCAGATAATCTGCCTTGATGTTCAGTGGGCTGGGAAAGTGTAAATGCTTGCATGGGATCAGTCTAGTTTGCACGGTACAACCTCCATTCAACAAGTCCGGAGTGCTGACACATGGATAACATCAGTGTTGATAAGGCAGCCAAGCATGCACTTTCACTTGCAGGGCTGAGTGGTATTCCTCCACTCTGAGGGAAATCTGTCAGACAGCCCAAACAAGGCGGCCTGTGGATAGGGCAAAGTTTAGTCGCTGCACCTGCTGGCTGGCCTTCAGCAAACATTTCCATTGTGTTAGAGAGGGCGTTCATTCAAAATACAATATATATATATCCAGAAATATCACAGCATTTTTAAATATGAGTCAAACATATCCTGTCATGTCCCTTGAGTGTCTTTGGCCGGCTCAGAGAAACTGCAGGATGCATGAGGTTCATGTAGCTTAACAGTTGCACCAAACATTGCCAAAACAATCAAAACGGCATGTAACAAATTAACTCACATGGGGCCTGAAATTGTGTGTGCATTCGAAAATATTGCACTTGCAATGTTAGTACCTGTTATGGGTGATTTACTAAGAATTATTGCGTAGATGACAACAGGAGCAAACACAACGGAGGTGGCAGTATTTAAATGAGGGTTTTGCGTGTTTTAATGGTTTCCGCTGCCCATCCTGGCTGAGATTGCACAAAGTACTTGGAACAGCACACCTGACAAACTACTTTGGGAAACCCCAGCAGAAACAGCTACAGCATGCTGGAATGACCCAGACGCGAGGAAATGCCAGCAGATTGTGCTTCATCCAGCCAGAGGGAACGATCACCGACCGTCCACACCGTGCCCGGTCGCTCCGTCCCTGGCCCTGCACACACCCTCTCCGATACCTACAACGGGCTATTACGAACGGCGCGCTGTGAACAGTTGGTGATCGTTCCCTCTGGCTGGAGGAATTTTACGCGTGATCCATGCACTACTGCAGCTGGGGGCTCTCCGCAGCGCCACACAACTTTCTAAACTCTAATCTCTGCAACACTCTGCACCTTCCTTTCAAACATATTAAATCCAGATGCTGCTGCACTCACATGAAATTGCTTGCAGGCTTGTTTAGATCACGTTGCGTGTAGTAAATAAATGTATTTGCATGTTACCCTCCCATTACTTGGCACAATAAAATTGAAACGCCCCAAATTGCATATTCATTCAGGCAAAAGTAGTAAATGAACAACAGGTGCTGTCTTGCACTTTTGACAGACGTCATTCTGCATGCACGCCGTTCAATAAGATCAGCTTACGTGCTAATTTGCTGGTGATATCAAGTTTGCACACGTTTTTACTCAGGCAAACCTTTAGTAAATCAGGCTCATGGTGTGTTAACTTACTGACCTACTTAAAAGTACATATATACAAAAGATTTAATGGTCCTGCACACCCCTGTCACCCAAGGCCAGATTCTGATAAAAATAGTAAAGGTGTAAGCTCAACACCAGGGAATTAGTGTTACATTAATTTATTTTTTTTAAATGGGGTATAATAGTCCTATCATAGCATTGCTTTTTTGCTATTTTCTGTTTCCGGCTTCTCTAATGTGAGGATTTGCTGCTTTTCTCACACAAAGCAATCAGTATTAATTGAAATGATAATGAAAACATTTTTTAGATGCAGCCCTAGTCTAAATATTCTCCAAAGGTTTCTCACCCTGTTTTTAAGTAAATTGAAATTTGTGGAAATGATGCTTTTATTGTGAAGGAAGACTTACAGGAATTCCTCAAGTGGCTGTAGGAGAAAGTTACTCTGTCACCTAACGAGGCACAGTATTTGTGCTGCCTTGTACTTCACTGTGTCTCCATGTCTCCTCAGGCGTGATAGTATCTACACCTACAGGAAGCACAGCGTATGCAGTGGCAGCAGGAGCGTCCATGATCCATCCCAACGTCCCAGCCATCATGATCACCCCCATCTGCCCACACTCGCTCTCCTTCAGACCCATCGTGGTGCCTGCCGGGGTGGAGCTCAAGGTAATAACACTGACCGTTAGTCTTTCAACAAAGTGGTTTGGTTTGCACCGACATCAGAAGTCAAGGCCTTCGCTAAATCTGGTGCAGATGAGTTCACAAACATGTTTCTCTTAAGCATGCTGTCTTCCTTCATTCATTTGTCACATGCAAGAGCTACTACAACAACTGTAGCTATTAACGAGCTCTTAAGTTGTGTTTGGTTTAAGTCAAATATTATTTTAATTATTTTGAGTATGTTTGTCCAAAGAGTTTTACAGACTAAAACCCCAAGTGAGAGAATTAAATGAACCTGACATTGGATTTAAGAATAAGTAAACCTCATTTCAATTAACAACTGTGTAGAATGACAAATAAATTTATGTTGAACCTTAAAAGAACACTGTTCTTTTTGTGACTTTTCTGCATTGTTTGCTTGTCGTTTTCCAGATAATGCTGTCGCGTGATGCCAGAAACACAGCCTGGGTGTCATTTGATGGAAGAAAGAGACAAGAGATCTGCCACGGAGACAGGTAAGTCCACATACCGAGCTGGTCATTACACCTCAGCCACAGAGACAGTAAGAGTGAAGCTCAGTAAATGAAGCAAAACAGTCCGCAGCTTCAGTTATGGATAATACCTTTAACTCCCCAGCAGCTGCCTCAACACTTACGGGCTTTGTTATGTAACCTTATCAACCTCCTTAAGGAACAGGCTTGTCTCATGTGTCAGATCCAGCTTCTTCCTTAATGTAACTTATACAGAGCATATCAACTTCCTGGTTCCTGATACATGAGCTGGCAGTCATTTTGAGTGTCTGAAGCATAAAAACGAATGTCCAGTGTTGCTTCAGAAGGAAGTCACATTGCTCCATCTGATGACAGCACTCTTGTGATTGCAAATTCCTGGACTTTTCTTTCCACATTCGGTTTTCAGCCTTTGTGACACAAAACCTTTTCTGAAATTGTTTTTTCTCCCCCCTTGTTTCAGTATCACCATCACCACTTCCTGCTTCCCCGTTCCCTCCATCTGTTTCCGTGACCCGGTCAACGACTGGTTTGAGAGCCTGGCTCAGTGTTTACACTGGAACGTGAGGAAGAAGCAGAACTACCTCAGCTCAGAAGACGAGGAGTTCTGAGGCCATTTCCGTGATCTTCAAGGTCTTCTCGAAGGTCTCTAGGACTCCTAAGTCTTGGGTTTAACTTAACGGCTCTGTGCCGTTTAGTTTTGAATGGGAGGTCCCACCAAACTCCATTCAGAAAAGTGTGTCATAATGTTGTCTTTCATGTGTATTAAAATTATTCCATAGAATCCTGTGGTAAATTAACAAATTTTAGACCAAACAACACTCTTGCTTTGGTCCTCCATGTTTTATTCTGGTTTAATAATGTAATAAATGTGAGGGAATAAGAGGCAAATTATGAAACCCCAAAGTGTTAAGTGTAATCATAAAGGCAATTAGTAAAATATATAAACAAATACTTTATAAAATAAATCCATAAATGATTGAAACTCAAATAATAATTATTTTTAGTATTATTAGTAATATAATCTTTCTTGTTTTTATAATAGGGAGCCCCTAAGGGGACATGGGCAAAACAAAACCCCAAAACCTTGTTTCTCATGCCCACCAGAAGGTATGTGGGGTGCACAAGAGTATCCCATGGGATACCTTCTGGTGAGCACAAGATACTTGTATCTTGGATCTTCACGAGATTCTATCTGGTGCACACAAGATACTTTTTGGCCTATGTCCCTTAGGGGCTCTATATTGTAGTAAACATAGGCAGTTGTGGAGTCTGCTGAGAGGCTGGAGGCATGGAATTGGCTGAAAGGTGAGGAGGCGGAGACTGGTGACAGCTCCACTCCTGAAAAGTGAAGTGTCATTAAGAAAAATGCAAATATGAAATGGAAAAAGGGCGTTTTTAAATAAATCTGCCTGTAATGAAACTTTGGGGCTCCATAGAAAGCAAATCTGATTGTTGAGCCTAATCAAACTCACACATGCTACTCCGAGAACAGAAACACACAAATAACCTACCTAGGTTTGTATGTTAGAAGTATGCAGCATTAATGACGACTCTGTACAATTCCCCAAAATATATTTTGTCATGTTCTACAGTGGAAGCATGTTAAAATTGTAGATTTTTAAATGGAGTTTGGCCCCACTATTAGTCCAGAATTTTGGCTGTGCTTTCTTTCTGTATGCTGTGAAATCTGGCCTTTTGAAGTCAAAATACAGTTTGTTGATTATGATTTCACTAGTTCTTAAAAGGAAATGCACAATTTAGGATGACCTTAGACTAAAACACGCTGTCAGTTGTGGATGGCAGTTGCAGTGCAATACTCTTGATGGGTGTTATCAGGTCTGTTCTAGCACTTTTTAATCCCTAAGACAGATGGCAGAGACACATCTGCTACTTTATAAACATCAAGTTCTCATCAAGTTAGGTGAAGGCTGAGTTAAATTTCTCTGGAAAATTCTAAAAAGAAAAACTTTCATCAGTGAGTGAAACATGCTTTATACTATCTATTTTTAGGTGCACCCTCGAGAAGTGCAGATTTACAGTACATATATTTGGCAACAGTGGCCCAACTGTACAGACTGTGCCTTAAACACTGGTATCATTAATGTAAAGAAATAGTATTTTTAAAGGTTTACATCATGGATCTTTTTAATCACACACTTGCACAGATCTGTGATTTGTGCATTTTCAATGTACCCGCACGTTGACAGTTGTCTTTGCTGTCTGCAGCGCGTGACACATGATTGACTAATTTAACGTAGTATGTCCTATAAAGTCTCTGTTCTGTAGTCGGTGTGTTGGATGATATGTCAAGAATATGAGGAGGTGAAATTCATTCCAGGCAAAGAGACGACAGTTCGGCATCTTTTTAACATCTGTTTTTTATAATGTCCTCTAAGCTAAGCCATAGCTGAACTCTGTGTAGGTTTTAAAGACCAATGTCTGTGGCCTGTGTGATTCAATGGTCTGTGTGAGTATGTTGAAGAATTTAATTATTTGATGATGATTTTGGTGCATACTTTAACAGTTTGCTACAAGTCTGTAACTGTGCTGTCTTGGCTGAGTACTTTAAGGTGGCCTACCTTACATGTCATGTCTACATGTTAATGTATACATTGTGAATTTGCTCAACAAACTGTGTCTGGGTGAAAGGAAGAAACAGTGGTGTCACATGTTGTAACTCTCAAATGGGCCAACTGAGCTCTGTAAGGCAATCATTCCTTAAACAGAGTATGTGTAAATATATATATATGTGATGCTTGAATAGGATGTATTTTGTAAAGTCTATTTGTCTATTAACCGGTTTACAATGTATCATTGCTGAAAATAAATCTATTTGGTACTTTTTTACATTAATAAGTTTTTCAGTTGTTAATTATTTATAAAATCTAAAATTAAAGTCTGTTTTAAACAGTTTTAGTCACAAGTACTTGTAGTATAGTGGAAGTACTTGTACGTTCAAACAGAGCCAAAACATATTCAAATGCATTCCAGGACAACTTGAGTAGTCTAAATTTCAGGTGAAGTAATTTAATCCGTGTGTTACTGTCAACTGATAGTTTGTTTTAAATGTTGGTCCCACTCCCAGTAAACCCCAGTTCTACAAAAAGCCTGGGCTTTGACTTCTATCTTCTATGAACAATTGTCAACTCTTGTCTTAAAATAGATTTTCTCTTTTGTAACTCAGAGCCTCTAACTCTGACTTTTGTATCGGTAAGTTTGTTAATGTTTCAAATACCAATCCTGCTATTTTGTTTTCCAGAGAACTTTAATAAACAGTGAGAAAGTTTAACCAGGATGCGAGTATGCTCTTGTCTGATTTACTAAAGGTTTGTGCTCGCATAAAAGGCCTCTCCATCTCAAAGTCCCGGGCTGAATTTCAAGTGCTTCACTCCTAAAACCAGTCCTTAGGTTGATGTTTGCTTTAAATCTGGGGAATGTGGTGGAAACCATGCAGTTTGTTAGCAATATCTGCTAAGTTGAGGAAAAAGTTACAATATATAACATAGAAGTTACCAGGATGTAACTCCTGTTCTATTAGTGTGTGCATAGGGAAACAAAGAACTTGAGTCACATCCTAATAACTTCCTTTTCATTCTTCTTATTGAGCAACAAATCAAAATATCAATCATCCATCCATTCATCCATCCATTCATCCATCGTCAACCGCTTATCCTGCGTACAGGGTCGCGGTGGGCTGGAGCCAATCCGGACAGGTCACCAATCCATCGCAGGACAAAACATCAATCGTGTATTGTGTAAAATATTTTATTAAGAACCTTGAATGAAAAAACACTTGAGTAAGTAAGTGCATTATAGTGTAGGAGAAAGTTAAATAAAAATATTCCAGTGTTGTCCAAAGACAAGTCTAGACAATACAGAGCACAACATTTACAGTAAGTTAGACAATTATTATTTATAAAAGCAAACGAAACTCAGTCAATGTCATGTACAGGAAACAAACAAACAAAAAAAACGTTTAAGATAAAAGCTCCTAAAAGATGTTGGCTTTAAAAAATATATATATTTGGCACGTACACACAGAGCCTACAAACACCAAAGGATTTAGATATTACAATGAATATGACAGTAAAAATGAAAATGCAAAAACATGAGAAAGCCAATCTTAAAAAGGCATTTGAAGTAATTTCATTCAAAAATGTTTGAGTGCAGTAGATTTGTGGAGTTTTACATCATGTAGATAGGCACACTGACAAAAAAGTGTAAAATAAAATCTATACAGTAAACACAACATCAGTCAAGAAACGTTCTCAGCTAACTGATCATTTTGGTGGAGTTGATGTTTAATGGAAATATGAGCTCCATGGTCAGCACCACTGTGCTTCTTCATGTTGGCCCTCAGCACGCAGCTGTGTCCTTGGTCCACAACCATCGGATGTTTTATCACTTGCTGGGTGCGAACACTGCAGGAAAAAAATGTAAGGTTAACGGCAACAAATTGGTATTCTGACACTTAGCCAACATAAACATACTTAAACAGTGACATAAGACACTATACTCACTCCTCTCCCTCAGGCCTTGGCCGAAGTTGTGCACAAGTCTGATGAGGCCCAAGATTAAAACCACTTTGATCACCAGTGAAATTGAAGCTCCAGTGACAGCAGCTGCCTCAAAGGTGTACGTGCTGTCCTGGGGCCATTTCTCTACCACCTACAATTAAAGCAAACCGCTGTTTTCCTGCAGGAATCCATCATCTGAATGCACTGGTCAAAATGTGTAAACGCATGCAATGTCATACTTCTATAACAGAGATCAATGCTTGAATCAGTAGTGCTTTAGTTTAGAGCAAGTATTTCAACTATGAAAACACTAACATGCTGCTCACGTTGCCTGTTTTGGTGAAAAGGAACAAAGTACATGAATTCAAGTACTGTACTTAAGTACAATTTTGAGGTACTTGTACTTTACTGTTGTATTTCTAATGGCACTTTATACTTCTACTCCACTATATTTAGTTACTTTAGTTATTTTGTTGATTACACTAAGCTCACAGTACTTCTCCCACTCCCATGTCTGCACGGTACAGCCACAAATAAGATGGACTTTATTAGGAAGCTATTTCAAATGTGTATCCTTGGCTGAAAATAGTTCCCAACAAATGCTCTATTTACTCCTGTTTGCTGAGCTCTGTAGTTTCTAGCAAATGTTACTAAAGCATCCTGTACACAGAGATACTGAAATATTTGAACCCACTGTCAGCTCACCGTGTACATCAGATAAACAAAGAAGGCTAGTTGAGGAAGGTTCTGCACCATAAAGACCCAAACTAGGACCTTGGCTTCCTTTAAAACCTGTAAAACAACAAGTAGTTACAAACACTGATTGCTTTTGAATTTTCACGTGTGCACTCGACTGTTTAGATTGTATACAGTATGATAATTCCCCATGGAGACGATGGACAAAGAGGACTCACCGCAACAGCCCCGACAGCAGCCGTCACGCAGGCCCACACCACTCCGATTCCCAGGATGATGCTGTGGGCAGCAGACATGGCCGAGTCCGATGTTGTGATCAGGATACACAGACACAACTGAAACACATCAACAACACAATATTAATGAAGTCAGTAGCTCACTTAAAGAGATGCTTGTATTTCAGTTAGTTTCTGTCCTCTTGTTTTAAGATATTATAAGATAAGATATAATTTATTGTCCCCGAAGGGAAATTTGTTTTGATGTCTCTGTCCGTTCTGCTTCTTCGCAACACAACACAAAAATAACAATAAAATATAGCCGCGAGCGGCAATGATCGAGATCCAAGAGGAGAAGAACCGACGCAGACGACTTCAGAGATTAGAGTGATGAAAGAATTTGGACTTTGAGATAATTGGGGAAACGCATACTGGATTTTGAGATCAGACAGCGTCATTATATGTACCTGACTACTGGGTGAAATGTTCACCCCACCTGCGACATTTTGTGTTTCCAAGATTTAAAGTTTAAGCCGTACAAACACTTTTTAGCAGAGAAAAATAAGAAGAAACTGCTAGGAATCCAAATAAAGTAAAAGACCACAGATTCACTATGATCTGAACACCCCCATTGTCAGCACGTCAGACTTGAATCCTGCTACTGAGCTACTGGTGTGAGGGTGTTCACATACACCTTCTCACAAGTTGAGGTAGTTGGTGAGAAAATTTTGAAAATTCATTCATTCACACATCATTCTGCTGGTTTTGGGTGACTTTTGGAGATATAGATGTTATTGGAATTAGTATATTCTGAAAAATATAGAGTGACTGACTTCTGAATTGACCATAGGTTGCAGTGAAGCAAACGCTAGTCACAAATCAGTGGATGTGCTGAAAAGATTTCAGCTCTGTAGGAGGGACGGGTGATTTTCTTAGATTTTTTGAAGAGAAATGTCTAGAAAAATACATTTCTTGAAATAAGCCCCTTCCACTTTGCGCAATCAATACCAAATTTTGTAGTGACCCGAGATCTTAAAAACCGAATTTCGTACGAATCCATCCAGCAAATAACGAGGTATAAACTTTTTGCAAGTGTAGCGGCCCCTAGTGGAAGAATATCCCAGGACTGTTCAGCGAAGCTCGGGCCGAGCATCTGAACAGACGTGTCAAGTTTGGCCTAAACCAATTTTGAAGAACAGGCATTTATGTAAAATTGCACGTAAAAACACAGAAGTAAAAATCTATGAAAAAAAAAAAACAGAATGACATATCAAAATTCTTTTGATAATAGAAGAAGAAGAAAGAAGAAAGAAGGAGAAGAAGAAGGAGGAGAAGGAGAAAGAAGAAAGAAAGAAGAAGAAGGAGAAGAAGAAGAAAGAAGAAAGAAGAAGGAGAAGGAGAAGAAGAAGAAAGAAGAAAGAAGAAGGAGAAGAAGAAGAAAGAAGAAAGAAGAAAGAAGAAGGAGAAGAAGAAGAAAGAAAGAAGAAGAAGGAGAAGAAGAAGAAAGAAAGAAGAAGAAGGAGAAGAAGAAGAAAGAAGAAGAAGGAAGAAAGAAGAAGAAGGAGAAGGAGAAGAAGAAGAAAGAAGAAAGAAGAAGGAGAAGAAAGAAGAAAGAAGAAGGAGAAGAAGAAGACCAATAGGGCTCCAGCAGCTTCCTACATAGACATCTCTCAACACATACTCTCACAACACAACAACACAAAACATGCATACATAAGACAGGAACCTAATAAAAATACACGTTCACACCTGCTCACAATGGCCACATTTGATGCCACGACCCATGCAGCCTGCATTGCACACAATTAATGTTGCGCAGCCCCCATATAGCCAACATTGCACAAATGAGATACTGCACAACCCAAAAAGCCGACGTAATGCACTATGTATTGAAATCACACACTTTAACAAACACTTGAGGAGCAATGTGTTGCAGAAGAGACCCACAGACCAGGTGAAATGAACGCAACCATAATGCATGTTGTGTTCTCAATATAGGACATGACATCTGACTCAACCAGACAAACCTGCTCTCTTGCTGTTCTCATACTCGCACCACATTCATATCAAATCAGATCATACCAGCACGTGTTCTGACATGTTCTCTGGATGCAGTTCAGTGTCTTTATAGGACACATGGAACACAAGGAAGGAACTAAAAATACCAAAGTAAACGCTCGTATGAACACCACAGGGTCATGACCAGCTACTCTGATCACAAACTTTCCACCTTTGTTTCAATGCACATCTACCTGAGCCTGAAGGTCAAAGGTCACCATGGAGAAGCAGAGGTTAAGCAGGAAATATTGCTCCTGGAGGGTCTCCAGGGCCCCGCCCACACGGAACGCCATCATGTTGGGCCTCTTTATGAGCAGTGTGGTGCAGAAGACGTGGATAATGCCCAGACACATGATGCACACAAAACGTACCTGTGACAAAAACAGATCACAGCTGACAATAAAATGTTCAGTGTTTAATTCTACAGCCCCTCGGGTTATGACATCCTTTATACTTTATACAATCCTGATGCATGATGTTACTCTGAAATTGACAAAACGGTGATGCTTTAAGATTAACTTGCTTAAGTAACTAAAGTAGGCATCCATAGTTTTCCTAAGTCCAAGCTCTTGTTTTACACTGCACTTGGACAATATGAAGTTTGCCAGTTTGATGCCAAAGTTTCATGCCTGCACTGAGACTAAGAGCAGCGCTTTGAACAAAAGTCTAACACACTGTAACAATGCTAACATTCTCACAATGACAATGCTAACATGTCAGTACTATTTTATGTCACCATCTCAGTTTGTTAGCATTGCTACTTAGCACAACTCTCCACAGTCACCTCTATATTCACAACTAGACGTGAC